CTCAATTTCAAAATTATAAATTCACTTGAAAACAACTTACAAAAATACTCTTTTCATATCAAAATTTTAACTAACAATTAGGGTTCTGCAAGTAAGCATGCCAGGCACGAATGGTATTATGCCAGGCACCGTTGGCACTATGCCGGATGGGAATATTAGTGCCCAAGTGCCTACTATTTTTTTTATTGTGCTCTAAACTTTTGCCAGTGCCAGTGCCAGTGCCATAATGTTTTTGGCACATGCCAGCATATATCGTGTATTATAGGAATACATTTATATGATTAACAAAACTTCATGCTTTACCATGAACAGTAACCCTATTCTATTTTTCAGCATCAATTTTTTAATATATAGAAATGTGTTTTTACTTTGTGTCTATATTAATATTATAACGTATTTTATCTATCTGTTTAACCTAACCACCCAACGAAATAGCTTTTAAAAATATAAGTCTTAAGACCTTCTCTTAAATGTTTCTGAAATACAATTTCTGCCTTGCCATTTTTCATTTTTAATCGACATGAGTTAGTTTCTCTGTGAATTTCTCTATTTCACCCACTATATAGGAGATTATAGAGGGGTATTCTCCTAGATTGTAGTAGTAAAGTACTTTTTCATTCTCTAGGCTTTATTTTTTGCACAATGAATATTGACACTCACTCAAAGTCAATTATAAGTAAAACTTTTTATAAATTTATTTCACATGAAGTATAGCCAATTCTGAAATCACATGAGCTAATTTAGTTCTGACTTTATATTTCATTTTCATACTTCACTTATAATAAATTTCCGTAACTATTACCTAATTCATTATACAGTATCTTTAAATAAGCTTTTCTAACTATTATATAAATATTATCATTCACTCACATTATCTAGTATGAATTACAGTATCAATGAGATAATTTCTTTATATCAAAGAGAAAATTTTTGTGCGTAATTATTAAAAAAAAAAGCCTGAATTAAAATAATTAATATATCGTAGCATAATTTACAAAATGTTGTATTATTATAATGTCACAATGTTGTATTAATTGTAGTATTGTAATGCCGCAATATAATGCAGCGATGCCATGTATTATATTATTTATTGAATAAAAGAATGCACTTAACTTTCACTATTGTGTATGCTTTTTACTTTCGTGTTTATCTTCAACTTTGTGTTTATTCTCCAATCTTGTGTTCATATTCCAATTTACACTTCATTATTTATATTTAATGGACAACTTGGCAACAATATACTCTGATAATTCTACTTCAAATATCTCATCAGAAGATAATGTAACAGAATCAAGTAACAGTACATATACTACTAAAGAGCATTGGACAGAAGTGTTACATGAAAATCAGATGGTTCGCCAGTGCAAGCATTGCAATAAGAAACAATATTCAGTTAATACTAGTAAATTTCATTTAAAAAAACATACAATTTCATGTACAGCACAGGGCATAAAGTTCGGTTTTAATAAACCTGTTACAAAGGAGGATGTAGACAATTCAATAATTGATTTAGTTATTAGCAGTGGAATTTCTTTTAACATTCTTAATAGTTCATTATTTCATAGAATAGTAAATATGCTTCATTATGTGACAGATACATATAAAGTTCCTCATTCAACAACAATATCATGTCATCTCTCAGAAAGTATTTATGAAATAAGGCTTGAATTTATTAAAAGTATTATAGCAGAAATGCCAGGACGGATTTCACTAACCTGTAATGAATAGCACTCAACTGTTCATAGATGCCATTATACAGTTGTTACGGGATCATGGATAAGTGATAATTGGCAAATTGTTAATATTATATTAAGTTTACAACAATCTGAACAAACTGCAAAAGACATTAAATCAATAATAATCAATACATTAAATGATTATAATATTAAAGATAAGATATTTTCACTTACTATGGACAATACTACAACAAATAAAGCAGTTACTCGAATACTTCAGGATGAGTTACCTAATATAAATCTTATATCTATTGAATGTATATGTCATATTCTTAATCTTATTGTGAAGGCAGGATTAGCAGAAATTGATAGACTTCAACAAAAAGTACATAAAGTTATAAAATATTTAGCCAACCCTTTAGCCAATGGACATTTAGAATTCTTAGAATCATATTGTAGAGTTGTTGGAGTAAATTTTCTATGACCAGTTCTTGAAATAGATATTTGTTGGAATTCTACTTTAGCCATGTTTGAAAGGTATATTATATTACATCCCGTGATTAAAGAAATGTGCTCAAAGGAACCATCAATGCCATCATGTTTAAAAACAGAAGAATTATTAGAACTGGAATCATTTTGTCAGATTCTCAAACCATTCGAGGTTGCAACAACAATACTTTTCAAAGATCAGTCGAATTCAATTTCAGATGCTTTAACAATAATATTAGAAATCGAGCAACATATTAATAATATTAGACATAATAGCAATGCAGTATGTTTAATGAAAAAAAAATTTCAAAAATATTGGGCTAAGATATCAAATCATGTTTTAATCGCACATGTTCTTGATCCAAGATATAAAATGTAACATTTGAGAGCAACTATAATAGAAGTTGGTGGATATTCAGAGAGTGAAGCTGAACAATATGTTAATAGCATTTGACAAAAAATACTTTTATATGAAACAAAATATACAAGTTCACATTCTTCAGTTTCAGAAATAGAAGGTGATGATAGTATGATGCATGATGTTTTCTTTCCTAAAAGATTAAAAAAACATCACATCAATACAGGTTCTCTTGACTATGAATTGGAATTATATGAGAGAGAACCTCTAGAAAATTTTGAGAATGAAAGTGATGATGCAAAAAGTAATAGAATATTTAGTTGAAAATTATTGTCAAAATAATTTCCAATTCTTAGTCAGATGGCTTTTGACTTTCTTAGTATTTAACCTTCTAGTGTTGCTAGTAAGAGAGCTTTTCTCGAGCTAGCTTTACAGTTACTAATGAAAGAGCTAATCTTAGTAAAAAAACAGTATCTCGTACAATACTTATGCATTCATGGCTAAAAGAAAGTCAAAAAAAATTTAGTTCACTTAATGATTTACCCGAAACAACATAATATTATTCTTATTCTGTTCTTGTTCTAAAACCTTGGTACTATAGGAAATGATAACTTCTTAAAATATTGCTATTGCAAAATTGTACTTTATAAATATTTACTAATTGGCGATAACTAAAAATATGGCTTGATAAATGTAACTAATAAGATAAATAAAGTAATATTATTTCAAGCTAAATTTATAAATAGTTATAATAACTAATAATTGAAATATAGTAATGATGCAAGTCTTCTCAAAGAATATTATAACCAATTTAGTTAAGTATCATTTCTTTGCTTTATTATGGTGAGATGACAATGAAGTAAGAATTAAATAAATTATTAAGATTCTTTAATTTGTAGCGATAAGATCTTGAGTTCTAATTAGGCTTCATAAAACTACCTAAGTTGGATAGAAAATTTTAAGTAACCAATTTCTGTATTATCATTAGTGTTAGCATTAAGAATCTTAAAGCTCATAAACAATTTTACCATATATGATTCTAAAAAAAAAGGTTATTGAAAAATACCTTATAATAAGATAAACTTCACTAAATTGTGCATGTACAGTATGATTTTAGTTAACTACGGTATGATTTTAGTTAACTACATATCATGTATTGCATATATGAGCAATTATTAATAAGTTTTATGCCTGGCACTGTTGGCACCATGCTGGGTACTAATGCTAGTGCCAATGCTAGTGACGGTACCTATATAAGTGCCTACTTAAATTGGGCCCGTGCTTCAAATTTTAAAACCAAGTTAGGCCCATGCCTTAAAAAATTTTTTTTGTACCGGCATGTGCTAGGTTTGCAGAACCCTACTAACAATCTACCTACTATACAAAACTTTAAAATTCACTATCTCCATCTATATACTACATCAAATTGTTTTTGCTGTTCACATACTGAAGACTCTCTTTATTTATTTCTTTGTTCAAAAAATAAAACTGACATTCTTTAATTACTCAACAACCTAATACACAAAACTCTTTTTTTCTTACAAATTTCAAACATATTACCTACAACATTACTTAATATTCTTTTACAGTTCATACTTAACTCATCAACCCCTTATTACCAACATATTCTTCATGCTATTACAGACACTTATACTATTATTATATATAACAATATCAAAGAAATTATAAACAAACAAACTAATTTTCTATTTCTAAATTTTTCTAATAATCTGCTTAATATGTACTTTCATAAACTTTTGTTTACATATAATATATATCAACATCAATAGGAACAAGCTCAAAACATTGCTTCTAAGACTAAACAAGCAAAAATAATTTTACCAAACTCTTCAAATTTATCAACTAATATTACAACTATTAATCAACCAATTAATATTTCTTCTTATATTAAAAAATCATTTTTACAAGGCTCTTTACTAATAACATGTTTTCTTTAATCTTAGTAACAAACATCTTAGGTTTTCTCCAACCTATCCTAGCTTAAACCTAATTTGAAATAATTAGTAGATATCATTTATAGAAAATAGGAGTATAATGTCACATTGAGTGCCAATTTTGTAGCACAAATGTAGTTAGAAATCTTTAATCTTAGAACTTCTGTTTTCTAAAAATGTAATAAAGTTTCTATTCTAATGTTATTGAAATAATAATAAAAAAATAAAAAAAAAACTGATAAGTTTATATTTGGAAGAAGAACTATAAGTATGATCCTGCATATTAAAATTATCAAGAATAATAGAATAAAAGTAAAGTTAAGAGCCTTATTGAATCTAGTTAATTATTGTATTTTGAGTTTGGCATAAATGATATTTGTGTATTTATATACAATAGATTTTGTTTATAAAAATTCTTAAAAGCTTTTACTTTATCATATATTAATTAAAAAATATTAAGTATAAAAAGAGTTATTATTATAAATAATTTAATATTTAGTTATTAACAAAAAGTTAAGTTTTAGTTATATTTAAATATCAAGTACTTTTAGTTTTAATATATTAAAAATTTAATAAATATAGAATAATAACCATTGTCATTTTTAAAAGATTGTTATTTATTAGTAGTTAGTTCAGAAATCCTTTTGCTTTTATAAACTAGAATTTAAAACTAAATAATAAATTTAGATAAAAACTAAAATTATAATTATAAGAGTTATTTAATTAATTAATATTGAAACTTGATTTCTTCTAGTTAGCTACTAGCTTGTACCAAAACTTTTAAATATAACACAACAATAATTAATATCTAAGTATTAGCAACTTGATTAGTACAAATGTTCTTTCTATATTTTTTAGCAAAATATAGGATCTTGTTTTCTTTTTATAAAATCTAAATAAACACAATATTATATTATTAAACTAATAAAATAATAATAATAACTTGTAATAAGAAGGCTGATGTATTTAGTTAATTAAATTAGCTATTTTATTAGAAAAATTGCTAAAAACTTTAGTCTAAGTTTAAAAATTTCTATTTATATTATTATTGAAATTTTTAGAAAAAGAATCATTATTAGAAACTTTAGTTACTATAACTTTATTAAAAGTTTTATCTGAATTAATTAAATCTTCTTTTTTGAATTTTATTTCTACAATTTTGTTACTAGCAATTTCTTCTTAAGAGTTATTAAAATTTATATTAAATCAGTTATACTAAAGATATACAAGATATAAAATGTTTAAAATTTTTTGATAACTTGATAAATTAACTAATAGTGAAGTTCAAAAATAAGGTTATTGATAATATTATTAGATAAATTTTTAATAAATTAAGTATAAAGATATTTAAAAAATCTTATAGTTATATAAAACTCAAATTTTTTTAAAAAATAATTAACAGCCATCACTTCTAAGATAATGATGTTCTTTATACTTAGTAGACTATTCTTAGAAGAGAATGATATAAGTGAATGGGTAGTTAAGTCCATTTACATGGAGGACCAGGTTAATGACAGCCAAACCCAATGTACAGGACAGGCTATGGTATTCTGCGTAGCTGTGCAAACCAAGCATATGGTAAGCGAATCTACAGAAGAACCCTCAACTTCTTTGAACTCTATTTCATTATCCTATATTAAGGAAGAACTTCAAGACTCATCTTACAATACACTATACGATCCAGACTCATGCTATAATGTGTGGTTAGCAGGGTTGAATTTACCTTTACTTCCACACCCCCAAACACTTAGCTCTTTCTTAAAACACATTCATCATTACAATTATATACAATTAAACAATTTC